CTCCCTTGGCCCATGCCTCAGTTTCCCCTGGGATCTGGCAGGACCCACACACAGACCCTCCCCAAATGAGCCACCTGCTCCATCGGGTGTGTCAGCTGCTCATGCTGTTTATTCTGCTGGCTTTGGGGCTGCAGGAGGTGGGCAGCTCTGGGCTCTTCTGCCTGCAGCCTGGCTCACCTCAGCCCAGCCTTGCTCCATTTGGGCACCATTAACCCCTCCCCTGCTAGGCTAGCAGCTGCCTGAGGGCTGCGGGAAAGAGGCCATGCACAGCCTGGAGAGGCTGAAAGAGAGAAGTGGGCTGGGAACCATGCGCAGCTCTGGCCAGCATGCCTGGGGTTGGCTGAGGATGGGGAGGCAGCGCCCAAGCCTCTTGCCACTGTACTGCTACTTGGCAGGGGCCCTTTGCATGGTGTCCCCAGCACAGCTGCAACCTGTGGGCAAGCCCCTCCAGCACAAGCCTTTCCCTGTAGCAAGGCTGGGAAGGGGCACCTGCTCTCTAAGGACTTGGTCCTGTGGGCAAGCCCATGGCATCTGGGCACTGAGCTGAGCACTGAGCAGAGTGGCTGACCCCAGGGCAGGAGAGGAGCTAGGCAATGGGGTGCTGCTGATGGGGGTCACCCCAGAAGCTGGGTATTTGCAACAGGAGGAGGATGGGAGGGACATTTGGGGTGGGGGAGTGGCTCTGGGCAGGCTGCTTCAGCCCCTGCTCCTCTTCTCTTGCTGGGTCAGGGTTGGAAGCACTCTATGGGATCATTGGAATCAGGCAGGATGTTGCAGTTGATGGGCCAGAGGATGCCAAGGAGGCCAAGGGACTGTTGGCACCGCAGCTCGGCAGCCAGGCACACGGCTCGGCAGGGCTGCAGGACACCCCCATCTGGGGTGCACTTGGGGACGAAGAGGCTGCAGATGAGGAGGCGGAGGTGCTGGTAGCAGGCGAGTTCCATCAGCGTCTGCGGGAGAGTGGCGGTGAGCATGGCACGGTGTGGTGTGGTGTGGTGCGGGCAGACCCACATGCAGCCCCTGGACAGCTCACCTGGTAGTCCTGCAGCACCTCGGCGGCTCCCTCCTGGTCTGGGATGGCCAGCCAGATGTTGGGGAAGGAGGTGGCATTGTAGCCCAGCCCCAGGCACATCTCCACCTCCACAGGCTCACAGACAGACCCTGCAACAGGGTGAGGTGCTTTACTTCTTATAGCAGCAGTAATGCCCACCAGGTATGCCTTGGGCAGATGTTAGTGCCGGGGCAGCTGCCAGCGTGTCTCCCGGGTCAGGTGGGCTCAGGGGGGGCTGAGTGCTGAGTGGAGCACCCGGGGGTGGCACTCACCGAAGGCGGTGTAGGAGACCCCAGTGCAGTTCAGCTCGTCGGTGCCGTCGGGGCAGTCGTGCCAGCCATCACACACAGACTCCAGCACCCGGCACTCACCATTTCCACAGGAAAACTCCGTGGGGCTGCAGGTCTCTGTAAGATGAGAGGGGCCAGCACGGCAGGGCATAGGCTTGGGCATGGGCATGGGCAGAGAGCCGGCTGGCCGTGGCCCAGGTCATGCCAAGGGCAGCTGGCCTCCCTGCTGGGAGTCAACCTGTTCCCGTGCTGACCACCCCTGTCTCCACTCTTCTTGGTTACTGGCCAGGGG